GAATACAAACTCGAACCTAATGCAAGTCAATGGGGGTCAAACTTTCGAAAATGATTGTCCCCTTTTATGCAAGCTATTGCGTCCCCCTTGTCCCCATCGACACTGGGAGGGTGTCCCTGTGTCGATGGGGACAAGGGCCTCGTCCCCACAACCCTGACCCGGTGGTTGTGGGGGTCTGAGGGCAAGGGGGGTTATTTGCATCAGGGTACCCCTTTAATTAAGGGGGCACCCAGATGCCGCCCCCTCCCTAGTGAATGAGTAAGGGGTACTTGTACCCCTACCCATTCACTAAAGGGTTAAATAAAATAGTTATTGAAAAGTCCAGACTTTTGATAAAAATCCTTTAATTGAAAAAAAAAAACAAAAGACATGTTTTTGACAAGTCTTCTATTAAAAAAAAAAAAAAAAAAGTTGATCCACCAACGTAATCTTATGTCAATTACGGCGTCCAGCGTTGTCCACGACGACGACGAAATAAAAAATAAAAGAATAAAAAATAAATAGAAATAATAATTTTAAACGACTACTGCCGTCCCGTCCGCTCCCCGTCGACTCGCTGCATAATGGCATTTTGACAGATGCCGGCAAAACATAAACAATTGGGCGGAGCTAGCGGTGACAGCTAGCTCCGTTCAAATGTGAGCTTCAGAGGGCTCTTTGCAGTATGGGACGTTGCGCGGTCGAACAGGGAGCGGACATCCCATATAGTTCGGCGAACGCGTGAAAGGCCGATGTTTGATTCGAACTGGCGGACCACCCCTACTGGAGAGAAGGGTGAAAAGGACAGGAAAGACGAAGAAGATCGGATTAAGAAACATCTTTTAAGGTAAGTGCTTTCATTAACATTGGGGGGAGGGAACAAAAAAATATAGACTTTAATGTCACTTTAAGAACAATGTTTTGTACAGCAATCTTGCATATAAAAGATCCATAAACAGCAAAAGTAGTTTGCTCAAAATCACACACACACAACACATCTAGATTATATCAAAAAAGATACTAGACTGTAGATAAAATGTCAGTGTGTGTTCTGAATACTAATTGCTGAATTAATGAATGTTAAGCTGGACATATGAAGAGATTGTTACCTTAATGGAAAAATAAAATCTAGTTCTAAGATCTATTTTTCCGGCAATGTTCAATAAAAACATTTTTCAAGCTAAATATTCATCTCAGATGAGCAAATACATGGCTGGAAAGCACCCAACTCGGCACTGCAAAACATCAGAAAAGAACCGGTGTGAATGTATGCCGCAAAATCCTGAGTCACCAATCAGGTGATATTTTTATTACATGTTAGTTTGTATCTGAAGAGGTGATGATTTAACGTTGCAGTCATTTCATAGGCTCCGGCTTTCTGACATTTCTATCTAACCTGTTACATGTTAACCACTTAAAGACCAGGGTGTTGCACCCCCTTCCTGGCCAGGCCATTTTTCAGTGTTCAGACCTGCGGTACTTTGACTGACATTTATTCCATCATGCAACGCTGTACTGAATTAAATTTTATACCATTTTTTGGGGGACAGATAGAGCTTTCTTTTGGTGGTATTTAATCACCACTGGGGGTTTATTTTTTACTAAAAACACAAAAAGAACTCAAAATTTTGTTAAAAAAAACCTGTTTCCCTATAAAATGTTATGAAACATTTATTATCACCCCAATTTTTTGGTAAAATATAAAAGTCGGGGTCACTTTCAAAGCCCATTTCGTGTGCACCTTACTGTATAACTGGTAACAAATTGTTGAGTGCGTTTGTCGTTTGTTTTGCTTTACGTCGAGTAAATAGACACCAAACATGTCACGTTTTAAAATTGCGTGCGACCGCGAAATCGCAGAAAACTACTGCACCCAAAATTGGCCATAGGCGATGCTTTAAAAGTTTTTACCGCTCATCAGTTTCATGTTATCAGTGATTAGTGGCCCTAAAAGGATTGCTAACATTCCAACGTTCGCGACGATATGTAACACATGCGGCGTAATGGGCGCAATCGTCGTTTTCGCATGACAGATCTTCTTTATGGAGACATCAGGGGTCTCTAAGACCCCTAATGTCACCTAGGGACCCACAGAGAAGCTGATGAAGCAGAGATCTGCTTCACCAGCTTCGCAACGGAGTTCTGTACCAGAGAGTGACACTGAATGCAGGAAGTGATATAATATACATCACTTCCTGCATTCGGGGACAGGAGAAGAGATCAAAGGGAGATCGTGTACTGACCTCCCTTTTGATCTCCACTGAGAGCGTCGCCATAACGGTCCCTTCCGCATCGGCCACAGCAAATCTCAGAACCGGCAGCGAGGAGGGGGGCGCACACCCGCAGCTCCTGCAAGCGATTGTCGTCTCTAGAGATGCCCCATCGCTTGAATGTAAACAGCCATCGCTGGCTGTTTACATTGGTAACAGTTCCCCACTTATGTGCTGAGCGCCGCACACGAGCGGGCGGAGGGGCAGGACGTTCTCAAGACACCCTCCTGCTCCAAGAATACTCTCGTCTGGCCGTTCAGGAATGGCCATGGACGGGAGGTGGTTAAGCTATTTCTGTCTGCAGGTTTCAACTTCCGACCGTTCTCTTTTCCGATGCAACTTCACCTTTGGCACAGGATCTCAGCCATTTTTGGGGCACATCAAAGAATTCTGCAGCATATTCAAGCACCTGCAAATCAGTTACCATTTGGCATATAGGGAACTCTCTTAAGGTGCCCATACACCTATTGATTATCGTTCGGAAATCTTTCGTGCGATAATCGGCCAGTTGTTGGGAAGTGAACGATCACAATTACTGTACTCTTGGCCGAATTTCTTCGATGGGTTGGGATGGAAAACTTTTTTTGGAATCGTGAGAAAAATCAATGGATTAGTGGCGTTTTCGTATGAAAAAAAAGCGCAACATGAGCACTGCACATGCGCAAGCGAAAATCCGTTCTGTCGATGGAAAAAATTTGGTGAGTTAGTATTGCTAACAAACGATTATCGAAACGACATTGGCCTGCGCATGATGGGGTATTTGAGCTGGAATCAAAAGAGGGTTCCTGGCAGCAACGAAAATCGCAGAGTGTATGGCCAGCTTTAGTTGTCTCTTGTTGCTTGAATATACCGTATTTTTTGCTCGCTTTTTTCCCCCCAAAAGGCGGGCAAAAATGTCCGTACGTCTTATGAAGCAAATATTCCCCCCAGCTGTCACACACATGCGCGCGTTCATCGGCTCCTACAGGATGATGTGTGTGTGAGAGCTTGGGACAGATTGCCGATTACAGCCTGTAGGGAGAAACCTCCGACAGTCTGTGAGCTTCCTCACCGTACCGTCTACTCACCCCTTCGCAGCGTCCGCGCTCCTCTCCACGCGATCGTTCTCCATTCCAGCAGCTGACCACAATAGCCAACCTTATATAACCTAAATAATTAAATGAATAACCTCTTTTAAATTGCAGTAGCCAATAACAGGCTGGCTATTGCCCCACCCAATGCCTGCTGTCAATCAACAGAGATGGACTTGAGGAAGAACTTCAGGTCCCACCTTTGCTGATTGACAGCAAGCAGTGGGCGGGTGCAATAGCCAGTATGTTATTGGCTATTGTATTAATCCATATTAATATATTGATTTATTTACACATACATTTTTATATTTGTTTATAATTGCACATTTATATATATACATTCATTTATTTACAAATACAAAAACTGAAAAAATGACTCTGGTAGTGAAGTAGTTAAATTGAATGTAATCCATATTAATATATTGATTTGTTTTTAAATACATATTTATACATTTAATTATTTGTAAATACATGTTTATATATTTGTTTATATTTACATATTTATATACCCATTTATTTATATTTACATATATATATATATATATATTATAACTATCTATCTATATAGATATATCTATCTAGATAGATAGATAGATAGATAGATAGATAGATAGATAGATAGATAGATAGATAGATAGATAGATAGATAGATAGATTTTTTATCTATCTATATAGATATATCTATCTATCTAGATAGATAGATAGATAGATAGATAGATAGATAGATAGATAGATAGATAGATAGATAGATAGATAGATAGATAGATAGATATTTGTACATACATTTATTTATAAATATGAAAAATGTAATAAATAAACTGAATATGTGAATCCATATTTATACATTCACTCATATATAATGACATGTTTATATATCCATATTTATACTTTCTTTTATTTGTAAATACATCTTTATAAATAAAAACATGTTATATAATAATAGCACTAGGTATAGGGGGTTTGAAGTTTTGGTTCACTACTCTAAATACTTATAGTTTTCCTACTCTAAATACTTATAGTTTTCCATGTTGCTAAATGGTGATGAACCTAAATGACTTCTAGCTGTTTTTTGTAATTTATTTATTTACAAATTCTAGATTAAAGTTTTTTTTTTATTTTTTATTATGTGTTGTTTCCATTATTTTGTCCACTCTTTGTATTATGTATCAACTTCTCCTAGCAGAATAGACAAGCAAGCCTGATTTTCTTATTCTCCGCTGCGTCTGGTTGTGAAACATCACCATAATGTTCTGTGGTGTCTGCTGTGCAATACAGGTAGCAGAATGCAGCTTAGACAACAACCCCCCTTACTCCAATCTGAGCTGCTGGTGTGTGTGAATAGTGTGTGTATGTGTGTATGTGTGTGTGTCCCTCCCAACCTCACATCTGTCCAGCGATTGGCCCGCACAGCACAGGATACCCAGCAAACAATTACAAGTCTCCTTCCCTTAGGAGTCATTCTCCAGCACAGCACTGGAGTGCTCACATCTGCCTGGACTCAGTACAATATAAAGAGACGGCGTAGCTTGTGTGGACGAAGGAGAAGCAGAATTCTGCCTATCGCTCCATCACATCTACAACCCGCAGCAGCACGCAGCACACTGGAGCATTTCATAGGTGAAGAAGAGCTGACAATCTTTTTGCTTCTGATCAGCCAACCAAGAAGCACCAAGAAAAAGACCTTACCTAGGTGGACCATGTAAACTTGACGCATCTTACAGGTACAGTCCTTTTATTTTTTATGCTTTAGTCACCCAAAACTACCTTTTCAGTTTAGAGTGGCTGCCTCTTCATTTCTTTTATGTTTCGGGGGCTCTAGCAGTGAGATCTCTGCTTCTTAGTCCTGACCTCTGCCCCCCATCAAAGCTATTACAGGTCCGTGGTTAGATGTTTTATATGTGTGCCCCTTCATTATAGTAGATAAGTGACAATCTGAGAAGGGGATGCAGGGTTTCATGTGTGTGTGCCCCTTTAATAAATAAGTGACAGTCTGCAAAGAGCATGCAGGGTACAGCCTGCCCCCCTTTCAAAGCCATTATATGATCCCCATTAGATGTTTGATGTGTGTGCCCCTTTAATAATTAAGTGAGAGTTTGTGCAGGGGGTGCAGTGTAGCGCCGGTCCTCATATCAAAGCTATTACAGGCTACCCATTAGATGTTTTATGTGTGTGCCCCTTTAATATAGTAGATAAGTGACAATCTGAGAAGGGGATGCAGGGTTTCATGTGTGTGCCCTGTTAATAAAAAGTGACAGCCTGCAAAGAGCATGCAGAGAACAGCCTGCCCTCCTATCAAAGCAATTACAGGATCCCCATTCTTGGTTTTATGTGTGTGCCCCTTTAATACAGTAGATAAGTGACAACCTGAGAAGGGGATGCAGGGTTTTATATATGTGCCCCGTTAATAAATAAATGACAGTCTGCAAAGAGCATGCAGGATACAGACTGTCCCCCTATCAAAGTCATTATAGGTTTCCCATTAGAATAAGTGAGAGTTGGTGCAGGGGGTGCAGTGTAGAGCCGGTCATCATATCAAAGCTATCACTTTATGTGTGTGCCCCTTTAGTAGATAAGTGACTGTCTGAGCAGAGTGCAGGGTAGTGTGTGCACCCCTATCAAAGCCATTACAGGCTCCAAATTAGATGTTTTATGCATGCATGTGCCTCTTTAATAAAGAAGTGGCAGTCTGAGAAGTGGATGCAGGGTAGAGCCTGCCCCCTTTCAAACCAATAAAGGCTTCCCATGTTTCATGTGTGTTCCTATTTAATAGATAATTGACAGTATTTGGCAACAGATAGATAAATAGATAGATAGATAGATAGATAGATAGATAGATAGATAGATAGATAGATATATAGATAGTTGACAATCTGAGTGGTGGGGGTCAGGGTAGAGCCTGTACCCCTATTAAATCTATTACAGGCTCCTCATTAGTTTATGTATGTGCCCCTCTAATAGAGGGGTGACAATCTAAGCAGAGAGTGCAGAGTAGAGCATGCACCCCTATTAAAGCCATTACAGCAGGGGTGCCCATTAGGTAGATCGCGATCTACCAGTAGCTCTCAAAGCTTATGTTGGTAGATCACGAAGGGTGTGAATGGTGGCCCCTTTATTCCATTTTGGTGTATTTATTTAGCTGTGCACACATGATTACCTATTAGCCTGAGTCTGCTGAGCCAAGCTCCCTGACACCTCTCTGGAGGAACTGGTGGTTGAAGTGCCATGTGTTACATCAAAGAATATTAGTTTACACAGCCTGTTGCACTGCACTGTTTGCAAAATACAGCAAGGTAAGCCAGGGGAGAGAGAGCGGGGAGAGACAGCCAGGAGAGAGAGCGTGTGGAGAGACAGCCAGGAGAGAGAGCGTGAGGAGAGACAGCCAGGGGAAAGAGCGAGGGAGGTTTTTTTTCCGTTGGTAGATCTCATGTAGCTCGTCATTTGAAAAGTAGATCTTAACACAAAAAATTGTGAGCACCCCTGCATTACAGGCTTCCTGAAAAATGTTTTGTGTGTGTACCCCTTTCATAGGTTAGTAAATATGTTTGCGCATGGGGATGCAGCATATAGCCTGCACCACTACCAAAGCTATTACAGGATACTTGTTAGATGTTTTATGTGTGTTCCCCTTTAATACATAAGTGACAGTCTGAGCAGAGAGTACAGGGTAGAGCCTGCACCCCTATAATAGCCATTACAGGTTCTCCATTAGATGTTTCAATTACATTTTAAGTTATAGGGATGCAGCAAAAGGAAAGAGACTCCTCTGGTTTAACAAAAGGAGCAGAGACAGGTCCTGATAAACATGCGTCCCTTTAGGTGACAGCAGGGGTGGCCGGGTAGCGCCAAAAGAGTTAAAAAAAAGTTTGATACAAAATAATTTCTGACTCTGTGAAATAAACAGAAAAGTGACAGCAATTCCCGCCGCAGACGTGCAGTTGAGACCTGCGTGTCTATGTATAGCCGGGATAACGACCCCTCAGAGAGGACAGATACTTCTTGGCAGGACGTAGTCAGGAAGCTCTGGTGGGGACATCTCACCTCTGGAGTCCCCAGGAGATAACAATCCCCCGAGGAGGATCATTCCGCCCGCCTCCAGAAATGTTATCTGCGAAAAAACTGACCTCGTTATTCTTCAGAGTGACAAAGTGTTCGAGGTCCTCCGGGTTCATCTTTATTTTTCTGGGACTTTTTAGGGTTTCAAAGATCTGTCCCGAAAATTGTCCTTCTTGTGTAAAATATGGACCAAATGTTCCATAAAATCCCCTTTTGGGCTCATTCACACGGGAATCGGCCGGCACGATCAGCTCCGTGCTGCGTGCACGGCCATATCAGGCAGCTCCCGGGAAGGACAGGTGCTGCGTGTCAGCGTATGAGTACGGACACCCGCACAGACGTGCAGGGCAGGTGAGCATAGGGCGGCGTACTCCGATAGAGAAGGACAGGGACTGCATACTAATCAGACGCAGCACCTGTCCTTCCCGGGAGCTGCCTGATATGGCCGTGCACGCAGCACAGAGCTGATCGTGCCGGCCGTGTGAATGAGCCCTTTATCTCACATCCGGTTTCATGTCGTAAGTGCTTTTTATATTAAAGAACTCCGGGCAAAACTTTTCTAAACCCTTGCAGCTGGGCTCCCCCTGTACTGCAAGGGTTAAGTGCTTGTTTTTGTCCACAAAATTATACTCACCCGATCCTGGAAGCCAGCTGCCTTGTGAGAGTGCTCCCTCCAGCCTGTCTCCTCCTCCACTGCAGTGATGATGTCCTCATGTCCTATACACAGTGTATTGGACCTGAAAAGAAAAAAGAAGAACTCTGAATGTCTGTTTTTACCTTTATTCTCGCAGAACGTACGTCAAAGTGGACCTTTACCCTCTTTGACTGCATGCTGATAGGAAATCATCTTACATTCATTAAACAAACCATATTTTTATTTTACTTACAATTTCTTTTTTTTCCACTTCCTGGTCCATTATGGCACAAATTATGTAATTGTGCCCAAGTGTTGCATCCTGGGATGCAACAAGATCTCGGGGAAAGGCATTTTCCTCCCCTGAGATGATGAGCATGGCCACATGTCCTAGTCACATGTGCCAGTGTTGCAGGAACCAAAGGGAGATATGTTAATCTGCCCTTAGTAAAAAAAATGGCCACTGTGAGAAGTATGGGCAGGAAAGGGAAAACATGGTATGCAAAGAATACAAAGCCGGCAATTATCTAGAAGTATCTGTTTGTAGATTGTACGAGTACAAGTACCTTACCAATACCGATATATTGCTTTCGGTACCCGACGATACCGAGTACCGATACCGGTGCTTCTGCTGGCATGGAGTTGGCTTCTCAGGCAATCAGGAAGCCGGGCAGTGGGTCATGACTTCCTAATTGCCGGGGAAGCTTCATGTTGCTTGGCTGGCTCGATCGTGATTGACCGGGAAACCGGCTTCTCAGCCAATCGGCATCGAGCCGGCTTCCCGGCCAATCAGGAAGCCGGGTGGTGAGTAATTACCCGCCTCCCGGCTTCCTGATTGGCAGGGAAGCCAGTTCAATGCTGATTGGCTGGAAAGCCGGTTTCCCAGCCAATTAGCAAGGAGAGCCAGCTGTTGGGCTGGCTCGATGCTAATTGGCCAGGAAGACGGCTTCCCAACCAATAAGCAAGGAGCTGGCTATTCGGCCGGCTCGATGCTGATTGGCCGGGACGCCGGCTTCCCAGTCATTCAGCATGGAGCCGTCTTCCCGGGCCAATCAGGAAGTCGGTAGGTGGATTATTACCAGCTACCAGGCTTCATGATTGCCCGGGAAGCCGTCTCCCCTACGGCACTGCCGGTCAGAGGAAATCTGGGTATCAAGGTATTGGAGCATTTGGCCGATCTCGAGTACTCGCCCAAGTACTCGGTATTGCCACCAATACTAATACTAGTATTGGTATCGGTGCATCCTTAGTAGATTGTCATTACTAAACATTTCTAAAAGTGCCTTTGTTGTTTTTTTGAAGATCTGGGTGAAGTTCCTCTTTAAGAAAGATTCACATTGCGAATTGTTTACAAATACACCGCATAAGGTATAGCAAACCTAGGACACAAAAAACATGAACGGACGCTTTAAAAAATAATTCTTTGGACTATTTTACTGCTGAGCTGGTTTGTTTAAGCTTGCCAAAAGTATTTCTACCTTGGAGAACATTGTAGAAGTAAATATCCAATGATAACATATTTCTGGAACTGAAATGTAGATTCCGCTGCTTTTTTTTTCATTTCAAATTCCATTGCTAATGTTAAAGGAACAGTAGAGTGTTTGTTCATTATCATTGTTACATAGTTACATAGCAGGTGAGGCTAAATAAAGACTTAGGTCCATCAGGTTCAACCTACAGTATATAGTGTGTGTGTGTGTATAGAGCTCGGAATTTGTAGTTGTTACCTTATAGAATATCAGCACTTTGCCCAATTAGGGCCAACAACAGGTTTGCTTTAATCCATCATCCCCAGCAACATATACAGGGTTATTCACCAAAGGGTGAAGAGTTTGGAGAAGGCAGAAGTGAACAATCTAGGACAAAATAGCCGATTTGGAAAAATTCTCCAACTCAGCTTACTTTCCAGGTCAGCTATTTAAGGACTGACATCTCTATGCCAGACTTTCTCCACCAGCAAATACCATTTCTGTTATCTTCTATATAGGATACAATTTTTCCAAACATACCCAAATGCTCTTCAATCAAGGATGC